TCGCTCAGGGATACGGCTTTTGTCAGCAAGGAACCTGCCTGCTGCAGAAATCCATCGACAGATTTGTGAAGTGTACGGTGAGACTGTGATGAGTGAAAGCAAAGCGCGTAAGTGGGTACGACAATTCAAAGATGGCCGTGACAACGTCCATGATGAGGACCCCTCCAGTTGCCCTTCTTGGATTACAGACGATTTGGTGGCTTCAGTTGAAGCGAGGATTCGTGAAGAGGGTATTTTAAAATTGGTTCAGAGGTAAGTGTTTGAACAAACTTGGCAACTATGTCGAAAAATAGAGTGAAGTATGTACTTTCAGTTTCAGAAAAACATCTATTTCTGCTTTATTGACTATTCTAAAGCCTTTGACTGTGTGGATCATAATCAATTGTGGCAAGTTCTTGACGGGATGGGCATCTCAAGCCCCCTTCCCTCTCTCCTGAGGAATCTGACCAAGGACCAAGGAGCAACAGTCAGAACTGACCATGGAACAGGAGACGGGTTCCAGATTGGGAAAGGCGTCTGACAGGGTTGTATCCTCTCCCCCAACCTATTCAACTTGTATGCAGAACACATCATGCGAGGATGTGCAGGAATGCAAGGCTGGGGTGAAAATTGCTGGAAGAAACATTAACAACCTCAGATATGCAGATGACAACACTCTGATGGCCGAAAGCGAGGAGGAGCTGAGGAGCCTTCTAATCTAGGTGAAAGAAGAAAGCGCAAAAGCCGGGTTGCAGCTAAACATGAAAAAAACCAAGATTATGGCAACAAGAATGATTGACAACTGGAAAATAGAGGGAAAAACCGTGGAGGCCGTGACAGACTTTGTATTTCTAGGGGCAAAGATTACTGCAGATGCAGACTGTGGGCAGGAAATCAGAAGACGCTTACTTCTTGGGAGGAGAGCAATGTCCAGTCTCGATAAAATAGTGAAGAGTAGAGACATCAGACTGACAACAAAGATCCGCCTAGTCAAAGCTATGGTATTCCCTGTAGTCACCTACGGATGTGAGAGCTGGACCTTAGGGAAGGCTGAGCGAAGGAAGATTGATGCTTTTGAGCTGTGGTGTTGGAGGAAAGTTCTGAGAGTGCCTTGGACTGCGAGAAGATCCAACCAGTCCATCCTCCAGGAAATAAAGCCCGACTGCTCACTGGAGGGAAGGAGACTAGAGACAAAGTTGAAGTCCTTTGGCCACATCATGAGGAGACAGCAAAGCCTAGAGAAGGGAATGATGCTGGGGAAAGTGGAAGGCAAAAGGAAGAGGGGCCGACCAAGGGCAAGATGGATGGATGGCATCCTTGAAGTGACTGGACTGACCTTGAAGGAGCTGGGGGTGGTGACGGCCGACAGGGAGTTCTGGCGTGGGCTGGTCCATGAGGTCACGAAGAGTCAGAGATGACTGAACGAATGAACAACAATGTACTTTCTGAAAATAAATTTACTTTTTTGAAATAAACTTTCGTTGTGTACTTATGTTCCAACGGACCTTACTTAAAAAATACCCCTCGTAAATAAACAAACAATAATATCTCTGTATGTCACGTGTTCCATTTGTAAGTGTATGCCGCTGTTTTTCTTTGGTGTTTAAACAATAATAAAAATTCAAGGAAAACAGGGTGTGGAAGCCAGGGAGCCCTTTGCCTCGATTACAGGTTGGCATGCCACCACCATATGGCCGCATGCCCCGGTGGGGAGCCCTGCGCTGACCCTCCTCGCGGCCCATCGGGTTTGGTTTCACGACTCCGTCTGGCCCACCGGGCGCTCGCCAAAAGCCCACCCAAGAAGGGCACTCGCTTAAAGGGCGGCGACAGCTGAGACCTCGACCCCTCGGTCGCATTGAGGGCATGACTCAGAAATAGCAGGGCGCAGGTCGGCTGCCAGCTGGGAACCCGAGATTCCTTTCTTAAATTAGGTAATTAACAACATACCGAGTGGAAAGAATACAAAATAACGGACATTTTGCAAACACCACCTAGGCTTGAACAAGTATCGTTTCCTCTGTCATACATTGATGAGCCAACTGCTAGGCAAAGGTCATATCCAAGGGTTGCATCGTTTTCCCTTATCACTCTCTAAAATATATTTAACGAAAGCCGACCGGAATGAGTCGAATTCCGATCTTTTAATTTCACCCCTGACACCTTCATTGACATGGATAACTTATCACGTAAGGCTACATTCCATACCTCCCCAAACCATGCCTTCCAGTGTGAGATTGTTTACTATCTTCCAATTTCTTGCAATGATGAGAGTGAAATAATCACCAGTTCTTCTTTTTCCATTTCTAAATTCAACTTTGTGGTGTCCATTACTAACACTAACTTGGCATCTGGTGTGTGTGTGTCACGAGCAACTTGAGAAACTGCAAGTCGCTTCTGGTGTGAGAGAATTGACTGTCTGCAAGAACGTTGCCCAGGGGGCCATTATAATATAATATAATATAATGTAATGTAATGTAATGTAATGTAATGTAATGTAATGTAATGTAAGGTAAGGTAAGGTAAGGTAAGGTAAGTTGTTTCTGGTGTGAGAGAATTGGCCGTCTGCAAGAATGTTGCCCAGGGGACCAATATAATATCATATAATATAATATAATGTAAGGTAAGGTAAGTTGTTTCTGGTGGGAGAGAATTGGCCGTCTGCAAGGACATTGCCCAGGGGACCAATATAATATAAGATAAGGTAAGGTAAGGTAAGGTAAGTCGTTTCTGGTGTGAGAGAATTGGCCGTCTGCAAGGACATTGCCCAGGGGACCATTATAATATAATATAATATAATTAATATAATATATTTTTTCTTGTGTCAGGAGTGACTTGAGAAACTGCAAGTTGCTTCTGGTGTGAGAGAATTGGCTATCTGCAAGAACATTGCCCAGGGGACTAATATAATATAATATAATTTTTTTTTCTCATGTCAGGAGCGACTTGAGAAACTACAGGGCCTTCTCTGTGGTGGCTCCTCGGCTATGGAATGTCCTTCCTAAGGAGATTAGATTGGCTCCCTCACTCTTAACGTTTCGGAGACGAGTCAAGACATGGTTATATGAGCAAGTGATTACAAATGCAGAGTAACTGACACAGGAAATGGAATCACTTGACAATGGAATTCGGACAACGTTTTTTAACTAGGAGACGCGGATGATAATGATGTTGGTTTTTATTGTTTTTATTGTGGTTTAATATTGTCTTAATGTTTAATCTGTATTTTGCTATTATGTGTACTGACTTGTAAACTGCCTTGAGTTGCTGATAGGCTGAGAAAGGCAGTATACAAGTATAGTAAGTCATAGGCACGGGCAATCCATGGTTCTAAATGGTTCTAAAGTACTTACAAAACTAAAGTTCTGGTGGTGAAAACTAGGGAGAGCTGGTGCTTTGTTTCTACAGCATTGCTAAAGTTCTGGTGGTGAAAATTTCAGAACTCTAACAAAACTCAAAATTACATTATTATTTCATTAATGGCGATTTTTATGACAGAACCAATTAGGAACTGCCATTTATAACAAAATTTTGGAAGTTTTGTTAGAGTTCTGAAATTTTCACCACCAGAACTTTAGCAACACTGTAGAAGCAAAGCACCAGCGCCCCCTAGTTTTCACCACCAGAACTATGGTAGAACAGAAGCTCTCTGAAGCTCTAGGTGCTCTTACTGCCTCTTACAGGGAAAACCAACTGATCCCGAATCCATCTAAAACACAGACATGTGCCTTTCATTTCAAGAACAGAGAAGCATCCCGAGCTCTGAGGATCACCTGGGAAGGGATCCTGCTGGACCATTGCAACACAGCCAAATACCTGGGAGTCACTTTGGACCGTGCTCTGACCTACAAGAAGCACTGCCTGAACATCAAGCAAAAAGTGGGCGCTAGAAACAACATCATACGAAAGCTGACTGGCACAACCTGGGGATCACAACCAGACACAGTGAAGACATCTGCCCTTGCGCTATGCTACTCTGCTGCTGAGTATGCATGCCCAGTGTGGAACACATCTTACCACACTAAAACAGTAGATGTGGCTCTTAATGAGACATGCCGCATTATCACGGGGTGTCTGCGCCTACACCACTGGAGAAATTACACTGCTTAGCCGGTATTGCACCACCTGACATCTGCAGGAAGCAGCAACCAATAGCGAAAGGACCAAGGCAGAGACATCTCCAGCTCATCCCCTGTTTGGGTATCAGCCAGCACGCCAACGACTTAAATCAAGACATAGTTTTATTAGGTCTACAGAGACACTCGCTGGAACACCCCAGCAAGCGGGAGTCCAAAAGTGGCAGGCCCAAACCCAGCACCTCAATCCATGGGTGATACCAGATGAGAGACTCCCCCCTGGGCACACAGAGGACTGGGCGACTTGGAAGGTGCTGAACAGACTGCGCTCTGGCACCACGAGATGCAGAGCCAACCTTCAGAAATGGGGCCACAAAGTGGAATCCTCGACATGCGAGTGTGGAGAAGAGCAAACCACTGACCACCTGCTGCAATGCACCCTGAGCCCAGCCACATGATGCACAATAGAGGACCTCCTTGTGGCAACACCAGAGGCACTCCAAGGGGCCAGATACTGGTCAAAGGACATTTAACCAACTACCAAGTTTGCAAAATCTGTGTGTGTTTTTTTCTTTTTCTTTTTAATCTGTGTGTTTGTTTTGCTCCGTTAGAATTGTAATACAATGGTATGGTTGCTGATGACACGATAAATAAATACCACCAGAACTTAAACTTTGTAAGTACTTTAGAAACATTTAGAACCATGGATTGCCCATGCCTAGTAAGTAAGTAAATAAATAATATCAATTCATATGTACGAACCTAACAAATTTGATACAAAATATGAAGAGTAGCGATAATTTGGCACACCCCGAGAAGATCCCTACCATCTATTCCTCCCGTTCTTGGTGCCGAGCTACTGCCAGGCGCAACTGATCTGGTGACCGGCACGCCGCAACTCCCCGGACCCCCGAGATTCCTCCCACCGGGCCCATGCGCTCCGCTTACCTCCCAGGGTCATCCCTGCTTCGTAGCATTTCCTCAGGCGGCAGGAAGGGCAGTTTTTCCGCCGGAACTTGTCGATGGTGCAGTCGTTGCGGCTGGCGCAGAGGTACTTCTGTTTACCTGCAGGCATGCGAAACAAAACAACAACAAGGCCGGTTGAGAAACAACAGTCCTTTGTCCCACCCTGGTCTTTCCACAGATATATAAACCCTTTTTCCTAGTTCCAACAGACCTCACTATCTCTGAGGATGCTTGCCATAGATGTAGGCGAAACGTCAGGAGAGAGTGCCTCTAGAACATGGCCATATCGTCTGAAAAAGCCTACAACAACCCAACAGCAAGGGATGCAACCTGTCGCTTCCCACTGAAGATAACCCAAGGTTGTGCCAAGCCAAGTCAGATTGGGAAGCCTTGCCTTTAGGATAAGAGCAACTCACACCATTAATATCTCATTTATGTATTTATTTATTTAGTCACATCCCACATTCTCTCTCCATAGGGAGACTCAAAGCAGCTCACAATCAAAAACATTACAACTTAAGATATACAAATATACAATAATAACACAATATATATCTCTCTCTCTATATATATTATATGCTATTGGTAGTATTATATTTAATATATTCTTTAATATATTCTTTCTTTCTTTTCCTCTCTTTTTCTTTCTTTCTCCCTTCTTCTTTCCCCTCTCTCTCTCACTCTTTCTACTTTTTCCTTCCTTCCTTTCTCTTCTTTCTTTCCTTCCTTCCTTTCTCTTCCTTTCTCCCTTTCTCTTCCATTCTCCCTTTCTTCCTCTTTCTTTTTTCTTGTTCTTCCTTCCTTTCCTTCTTTCTTTCTATTCTCTTCTTCCTTCCTTTCTTCTTCCTTCATCCTTCTTTTCATTCTATTCCTTTCTTTCTCTCTCTTCCTTCCTTTCTCTCTTTCTTTCTATGTTTCCTTTCTCTTTCTTACTCAGTATTCCTTCTTTCCTTTCCTTCTTTCTTTCCATTCCTTTCTTTCTCTTCCTTCCTCCCTTTCTTTTTTCTTCCTTCCATCCTTCCTTTCATTCTCTTCCTTCCTTTCTCTCTTTCTCTTCCTTCTTTCCTCTCTTTCTTTCTGTTTCCTTTCTCTTTCTTACTCACTATTCCTTCCTTCCTTTCCTTCCTCCTTTCTATTCCTTTCTTTTTCTTCCTTCCTTCCTCCCTTTCTTTTTTCTTCCTTCCTTCCATCCTTCATTTCATTCTATTCCTTTCTTTCTCTCTTTCTCTTCCTTCCTTCCTCTCTTTCTTTCTGTTTCCTTTCTCTTTCTTACTCACTATTCCTTCCTTCCTTTCCTTCTTTCTTTCCATTCCTTTCTTTCTCTTCCTTCCTCCCTTTCTTTTTTATTCCTTCCATCCTTCCTTTCATTCTATTCCTTTCTTTCTCTCTCTCTTTCTCTTCCTTCCTTCCTCTCTTTCTATGTTTCCTTTTTCTTTCTTTCTTTTCCTTCCTTCCTTCCTTCTCTTCTTTCTTTCTATTCCATTCTTTCTCTTCCTTTCTTTTCCTTTCTCTCTCTTTTACTTCCTTTCTCCCTTCCGTTTCTTCCTTCCTTCCTTTCTCTTCCTTCCTTTCTCTTCCTTCATTTCCTTTCCTTCCCTCTTTTATTCTTTATTCCTTTCCTTTTCTTTCTTTCTTTCTTTCTTTCTTCCTTCCTTCCTTCCTTCCTTCCTTCCTTCCTTCCTTCCTTTCTTTCTCTTCTTCCCTCTCCTCCTCCTCCTCCTCCTCCTCCTCCTCCTCCTCCTTCTTCTTCTTCTCTCTCTCTTTCTCTCTTTCTCTATCCCTCCTTTCTCCCGATATGGGATAGCATTTTAAAAATATGTGTGTAACATGGCCTTCAGGCTACTCGTATAAGGTGTACAAGAAACAGAAATGAATTCCGTGTTTAGATTTGGGATCCCATCTCCAAGATTTCTCCGAAAGTCTTAGCCTCTGAACCCTGCCGGAACCCCTGTCTCCTGAATGAGGGCACATTAATTGGAGACAGGAGGTTCTTCTGTTGACGTTGCCTTCTAGTCAACGCCGACACGAGTTTTCCTAGAGAAAGACTTCTTCAGAGGGTTTTGACATTACCTTCCTCTGAGGCAGATGGCACATGATTGGAACCAGAATGCCTTGAGTTCAATAGGTCCACTTTCCTTCTGGAAGGAAAGGGCTTGAGGTCTTTCCAACCCTGTGATCGCCCTCTCATTTATCAATGACCAGAACTCCAAGCCATACTACAGTTCTGGCCCGCTTTGTGCAGAACAGAGACAGATGACTTCTAGGATTGGCCGTTCCCTTCTCTCCATATGGGTTGCGTTAGTCTTCTGCACAGCAGGACCACACCGCTGGCTCCGCAAACGGAATAGTCCATCAACCCAGACATCAACGTCCTTTCCATTGATCCCGAACCCATGAAAGTTTCCCCATTCCCCCTTTCACAACTTTGACTTATATATAAATAGATGGAATCCAACTTTAAATTATGTTTTCTTAAGGGGCATTAAAGGGATTAAACAATTGAAGGAAGTCTTCAAGAAAGAGCAATGCATCCAAGAAGAGTGGATCCAAAACCTATTAAGTGTTTTGGTTGTTGCAAAGGTTAAACTCCAACCCCGCTCCTTCCAGGATGGATTGCTTCATCCCACCCGTTTTCATAAAATTGATTGGCGGAAGAACTGCCTGCTTTGAGTTTATTTTATAAGGGAAACTCGTCATTATCAATCACGGCTTTAATAAAAAGGATAATGAAAAGAAAGGGATGCAACTTTGCCAGAGAAAGGAGGCAAGGGGAGGATTTCTCTGGAGGGAGAAAAAAGGGGCAGAGTTCAAGGAGGAAAGAAAGAAAGGAACCCAAAGAAAAGGAGGAAAGGGAGAAAGGAACCTGAAGAAAAGAAGGAAAGAAAGGAACCTGAAGAAAAGGAAGGAAGGAAGGAAGGAAGGAAGGAAGCTGAAGAAAAGAGAGAAGGAGAAAGGAACCTGAAGAAAAGAAGGAAAGAAAGGAACCTGAAGAAAAGGAAGGAAGGGAGAAAGGAACCTGAAGAAAAGGAGGAAAGGGAGAAAGGAACCTGAAGAAAAGAAGGAAAGAAAGGAACCTGAAGAAAAGGAGGAAAGGGAGAAAGGAACCTGAAGAAAAGGAGGAAAGGGAGAAAGGAACCTGAAGAAAAGGAGGAAAGGGAGAAAGGAACCTGAAGAAAAGGAGGAAAGGGAGAAAGGAACCTGAAGAAAAGGAGGAAAGGGAGAAAGGAACCTGAAGAAAAGGAGGAAAGGGAGAAAGGAACCTGAAGAAAAGAAGGAAAGAAAGGAACCTGAAGAAAAGGAAGGAAGGGAGAAAGGAACCTGAAGAAGAAAAGAGAGAAAGAAACTTGAAGAAAAAGAGGAAAGAGAGAAAGAAAACTGAATAAAAAGAGGAAAAAGAGAAAGTATCTTGAAGAAAAGGAAGAAAGAGAGAAAGGAACCTGAAGAAAAGGAGGAAAGAAAGGAATCTGAAGAAAAGGAGGCAAGAGAAAAAGGAACCTGAAGAAAAGGAAGGAAGGAAGGAAGGTAGGACCCTGAAGAAAAGGAGGAGAGAGAGAGAGAAAGAAAGGAACCTGAAGAAAAGGAGGAAAGAGAGAAAGGAACCCAAAGAAAAGTAGGAAAGGAAGAAAGGAACCCGAAGAAAAGGAGGAAAGAGAGAAAGGAACCCAAAGAAAAGTAGGAAAGGAAGAAAGGAACCCAAAGAAAAGGAGGAAAGGGAGAAAGGAACCCGAAGAAAAGGAGGAAAGGGAGAAAGGAACACGAAGAAAAGGAGGAAAGGGAGAAAGGAACCCAAAGAAAAGGAGGAAAGAGAGAAAGGAACCCGAAGAAAAGGAGGAAAGGGAGAAAGGAACCTGAAGAAAAGGAAGAGAGGACGGAATGTGAAGAAAAGGAAGGAAGGAAGGAACCTGAAGTAAAGAAAGAGAGAAAGGAACATGAAGAAGAGGAGAAAAGAGAGAAAGAAACCTGAATAAAAAGAGGAAAAAGAGAAAGGATCCTGAAGAAAAGGAGGAGAGAGAGACAGGAACCTGAAGAAGAGGAGGAGAGAGAGAGAGAAAGAAAGAAAGGAACCTGAAGAAAAGGAAGAAAGAGAGAAAGGAACCTGAAAAGAAAGGAAGGAACCTGAAGAAAAGGAGGAAAGAGAGAAAAGAAAGAAAGGAACCTAAAGAAAAGGAGGAAAGAGAGAAAGGAACCTGAAGAAAAAGAAGAAAGAGAGAAAGGAACCTGAAGAAAAGGAGGAAAGAGAGAAAGAAATCTGAAGAAAAAGAGGAAAGAGAGATAGGAACCTAAAGAAAAGGAAGAAAGAGAGAAAGGAACTTGAAGAAAAGGAGGAAGGTATAAAGGCAAAGAGGTGCTGACTCCAGGAGAGCAAGGAGCTAAGTGGAGTGGAGAGAGGATAAACTATCTATCTATCTATCTATCTATCTATCTATCTATCTATCTATCTATCTATCTATCTATCTATCTATCTATCTATCTATCTATCTATCTATCCTCTGTACGTTGTGAGTGGCATCATAACTCAAAATCCGCTGGACAAATTGCCGCCAAATTTGACCACAAGACACCTACTAACTAAAAAAAATTGATCTTGTCCTTTGGGAGTTGTAGTTGCTGGGATTTATAGTTAACCTACAATCAAAGAGCATTCGGAACCCCACCAATGACGGAATTGGGCCAAACTTGGCACAAGGAACTCCCATGTCCAACAGAAAATACTGGATTTAATGGCCATTGACCTTGAATTTGGGAGTTGTAGCTCACCTACATCCAGAAAGCACTGTGGACTCAAACAATGATGGATCTGGACCAAACTTGGCATGAATTCTCCATAGGCCCAAATATGAACACAGGTGGAGTTTGGGGAAAATAGACCTTGACATTTGGGAGTTGTAGTTGCTGGGATTTATAGCTCCCTTACAATCAAAGAGCATTCTGAACCCCGCCAGCGATAGAATTGGGCCAGATGTCCCACACAGAACCCCCATGACCCTTCTGACACCCGCTCATGACCACCCACCAGGGGTCCTGACCCCCAGGTTGGAAAATGCTGCCTGAGGGCCATCCAGTACAACAACCTTCACCAGGGCAAGAAAACAATCAAA